TTTCTTTACAACCTCTGTCCCCACATGCATAGCTCCTCCACTTCATCCATTTTCTGTTGCTACAACCAAAGCTTGAGACTGATAACTTTATAAAAAACAGAGATATATTTGTATCCTTATTCAGAAGGCTGGAATGTCAGAGAACATGGCATTAAAATTTGGAGAGAGCTTTCGTGCTATGTCATACCATGATGGTAGAAGGCAGTAGGGCAAGAGAGGGCAAGAGTGAGAGAATCAAACTTGCTTTTATCAGGAACTCACTCTCTTGATGACCCATTTATATAATAACAGCATTGATTCATTTATGAAAACGGAACCCTCATGAACTCATCATCTTTTAAAAAGTCTCACCTCTGGAGCTGGCAGAGTCGCTCAAGCACTTGACTAGCAAATGGGAGGCCCTGAGTTCAATCACCAGTACAGCAAAAAAAAAATGTGTCATCTCTAAATTCTGTTGCACTGCTTCTCATACATGAGACTTACTGGACACAGTCAAACCATACACCCACTGTCAATGTTCTATAACCTAGTGGTTCTGTTGGTTAACCTAATATAACAGCATTATCTTCAAAAGTTTGCATCAGGGTTGGCATTTGGATTTGTATTTTTATGGGCTTGGAAAAATGTATGACATGCATCCACTATTGTAGCATCACATGAAATAATTTCACTAAAATATAAAAATTGTGTGTTCCACCTGTTTGTCTTTCCCACACCTGGTTACAACTACTGATCTTTTAAATGTCTCCATACTTTTTCCTTTTCCTGAAAGTCATGTAGGTGAAACTATGTAGTATACATTCTTTTAAGTTCAGTTTTATTCACTTGATAACATATATTTAAATTTTCTTGGTCTTTTTTTGCTTGTTACCTGTTTTTTTGGTAACAAACACCATTTCATTGTTTGGATGTACCATAGTTTATGTATCCATTACCCACTGAAAATTTATGCACCCATACTGTTTGCTTCCAAATATTGAGTTCAGTTGTTTATACTATAAAGGTAAATAAATACCTTTATAAATTTAGAAAATTTTCTTATATTCTTGTCTTACTAAGTGTTTTTGTGAGGAAGGGTGTTAAATTTAATTAGCTACTTTACTACGTCTATTGATGTAAATATGATTTTTCTTCTTGATCTTTTGGTCTAATGGATCACATTGATTGATCTTTGTATGCTAAGCCAGCCATGCATACCTGAAATAAAACTCAGTAGGTACCAATGTATAATTATTTTTCTCCATTACTGAATTTGAGTTGCTAATTAGTGTGTCTGGAATTCTTTCTGGACCACTAACTGGAAGTCCTCTGTACTCTCAAATCAGAAGAACTTTAAATGTAATCCAAATTTCTTTGCTTTAATCCTTTATTTTATACTTCCCCTTTCTTATTTCCTATCCTTTCCCTTCACATTAAACTATCTTTCCTAGTATAGAACTTGTCTCACTCATCTCGGTGTTGGATCTTTCTGCATAACAGTATTTCCTATATGCTTGACTTCTCATATTTGGATTTCAGCTTAACTATTGCCCTTAAAATAGGCATTCTTTGATTAGATAAGTTACAGGTTATCTCAGCATTATTTTCTGTCATAATCCCTTAATGGTTATCTAATTTATACTGATCAGGGATTATAATTACTTTTTCAAGTTGTTCCCATTTTTATTTTTTGTATCTGTTACAAGATATAAAGCCAATGTAGGGAGGACTACATCCTGATTTTTTTGTCTTATCATCTATTGTATCAAATTGATAACATAGAACCTGAAACAAAATAAATCTTTGTAATTTTTTTAGCAAAAATGAATGGTTTCTATAACTATGTACATCTTTTAGAAATAACGAATCAAGTATTAGGTAAAAGTAAAAATAATTTGTCCAGGCAAATAACAAATTCATTTCCTTGAACAAATAAACTGGGCTGATGTTTTATTCTTCATTACTAATTGTTTCAAAATATTTCTGAAACAATTTTTTACTTTTTCATATTCTGGATTCTAAGTCATGTGATTTATTTAACTGTATCTTTACATATATATATACTTTTCAAATTGAAGAGAATTCCCAGTGAATTTAATTAAGGAAGAATCCATCTTGGACACATGCCAATTGCAGGAGTCTATGATTAATGCTGTTATGAGGAATAACATCTTCACTGACTACTTTTCCCCCTGTCAGATAGAAGATACTGTCACCATTGTAACTGACATAATTATTTCAGAAGGTATTTTAGGCTTAAAGCATGATCTGAAAATGCATGCAAATGATCTGTCAAGTTCTCAAGTATTTGGTTATACCAACATAAGACAGGAAAAGGGCTTATCAGCTGGATGGTACTTATTCTTTATTGAAGTTATTAGAGATGAACTTGTGAGACAAAACCTTGCCGACTAAAAAGAATAGTTTTTATCTTCTTATGTGGGCATAGGGTTTGTTTGCAGTCTTGATATATTTTCCTAATATGGAAAATATTAATTTTTCTGTTTGTAGGACACAGTTCCTTTGAAATAGAACTGCAATGAAAGCAATGATTTTCTGAAATATTTAAAAGGATTTATCCACAAGGAATAATACAGTTTTTGTGGCTTCTCCGTACATACTGGGTGGAAGAAGGATTTCCATCCAGCTCTTTGAGAGTGAGGTAAAAAGTCTGCCTTCAAATTATAAACAAACTCCTAAAAGGTACATCTATAACAGCTGGTGGAGGAAACCATGTTTTGTAATTGGGTGAATTTTTCATTACATAGGAAATGAGGTAACCTGAGTTAATAAGAACCAAAATATTAAAAAAAATACTTCTGCATGTAAATGTGCTGGTCAGGTTGTACATAATGCATGCCATGAATATATCTTAAATATTAAAGAAAATTTAGTTATCAGCCATGTTATATGATTAGGAGTTATCTTCTATCTGGAGAAGTAGAACATTCATTGTGAAAGGTGTTTTGTTAGATTTCTGTCCTCAGATGACATGACTACTAGTGTAGACTCTGTCTGTATATGAGATAGTGGTTATTCTATGATGCATGGAATACTGCATTATTCAGTCAACATGACAAAATGTAAGTGTTTTATAACCACTTCTTTTATATTTTATGCATTTATATGTTAGTAAGATCAAAGTAAAGACAATAAAAAGAGATTTGAATGACTGTTTTGTATGTCTGCAACTGTGAGAGTTACCATTCATACAACATGGTCACAAAAAGTTGTTATGGTTTTATTATCTAAAACAGAAAATTCAGATCCTTATATCCCATGTGAATGCATCCAGGCAGGATATGTGGATGTAGTAATGTTGATAGCAAAATTTATTATCTGTTATGGAAAATGTTAGAAATAGCCATAATGGGCCAGGGATGAGTTGGAAGGAGAGTGAGCTCTTCTTGTACCCAGGTGATTTTTGAGCCTACACTAACCTATGGGAAGGGAAAGCTTGAGCAATTCTTGATCACCAATAATTGCTACGTTTGATCACCAATAATTGCTAAGTGAGGAGGAGTTTGGCTGGTCCCTGGTCTGTAGTGGTGGTTCCAGCTGTCCTCTGGCTGAGGCTGAGGTGTGAATAATCTGTACATATTTACAAGAGAGAGAGAGAGAGAGAGAGAAAGAGAAAGTTCGTATATGTTTTAAGAGTCCTGGTTCTGGCCTGCCTCACCAAGAGTCCCAAGTTAGAGCCCTAACTTCCAGGACTTCAGAATGTGACTTTATTTAGGGACGGGGTTTTTAACAGTGATCATCAAGTTAAAATTCATTAAGATGGACCATAATCCTGTGTGACTGGTTCCTTATTAGAAGTGGAAATTTGCATTCAGGGAGAATGCCACATGAATATAAATTAGTTATCTATAATCCAAGGAGAGAGGAATAGAACAGCTTCTTCTTGCTTAGTCTTGTGAATGAAGCAATAGTGTCTATGATTGATATTGAACTTTTAGCATAAAAATTTCTGAGAGAACACAGTGTTGTTGTTTAACCACCTGGGTGCTGCTACTTTGTTACAACAGCTCTAACAAAAGATCTTAGCTTTTGGTACTGGGAAGTGGGAGTGCTGCTGAAACAAGTGTCTTAATATGTGCTGGTAACTCTGGGAGAATGTAATTGGTAGACCCAGAAACCTGTAGGGCCTAATGGTAAAAAGACCCAGATTGCCTTGAAGAAATAGATTGTTGGTAGAAGTATGGTCATTGAAAGGTGGTTTTTGTAAGGGCTCAGAAAATAAAGAGAACTACAGAGAAGTCATCTGTTGTCCGAGAGAATACATATATCATCATGAACAGAGTGTTCTTAGAAATTTGGATGCTGATATACTTGTGGTTGAGGTCTCAAATGGAAATGAGGAACATGTTATTGGAAAGAGGATGAAAGACAATCATTTTAGTTAATTAATTTAATTATTTATTTGTTTAATTTTGGTGGTACTGGGGTTTGAACTCAGGGCCTTCTGTATGCCAGGCAGTTGCTATACTACTTGAGTCATGCCCCCACCCCTGTAATCATTGCTTTAAAGTAGCAGTGCTAGAAATTCTGTGACATCTGGTCCATGTTTTTACATTCATAATTTGTTCTACCCATTACCAATATGTATGTAAATTACTGTAAGTGAGTTTTCATTATTACACTTTATGACTTTATACATGGTGTATTCTTTCTTTCTTCTTTTCATCTTACTTCTCCTTTAAAGTCATCTAAAGTGTTGGTTTTTCAGAGCAACCTTGCCAGATTCCAGTTGATATATAAATTCTTCAAACCCATAGCATAGCATGATATTTCTACTGACACTTAGGACTTCATCTTAATTGTCTTCCCCATCATTATGTATCAATATTAGTGACCAGAATTTGTATTAGTCAACTTGGTAATTCAGATATCTATGGCAAGTTGTTTGATAGAAATATATGCTTCATATATGTTTTAGTGGATATACAAAGATTAAGATTATAATGTTTCTATAAATATTTTCATTGTTTTGTAGGTAAACTGCTGAAATCAGCCCCAGTAAAAAACACATGGAACCAAGGAACAATGTCACTTATTTTGTTCTCATGGGCCTCACTCAGAATCCAAAGGAACAGAAAATACTTTTTGTTATATTCTTGCTGTTCTACATTTTGAGTTTCGTGGGAAATCTGCTCACTATCATGACTATAACTCTCAGTCAAAACCTGGCCTCACCGATGTACTTCTTTCTTGCTAGTTTATCTTTTTTGGATATTATTTACTCATCAACCATTTCTCCACAATTGTTGTCAGACTTGTGTTTTGAGAATAGTACCATATCTTTCAAGTCTTGTATGATTCAGCTGTTTACAGAACACCTCTTTGGTGGATCAGAGATCTGTCTTCTATTGGTGATGGCCTATGACCGCTATGTGGCCATCTGTAAGCCTTTGCATTATCTGGTTATCATGAAGCAAAGGATGTGTGTTGTGTTACTCATAGTGTCTTGGGTTGGAGGGTTTTTGCACTCTGTTATTCAACTTGTCACTATTTATGGGCTCCCATTCTGTGGCCCAAATGTCATTGATCATTTTATGTGTGACATGTACCCTTTATTGGAACTTGTCTGTGTTGACACCTATGTCATTGGCATTTTAGTGGTGGTCAATGGTGGACTGATGTGTGTGATTGTGTTTCTGCTCTTACTCATCTCTTATGGTGTCATCTTGTACTCTCTAAAGAACCTTAGTCAGGAAGGGAGGAGGAAAGCTCTCTCAACCTGTGGCTCCCATATTGCAGTGGTTGTCTGCTTTTTTGGTCCCTGCATTTTCATGTATGCCAGACCTGCCAAGACTTTTCCAACTGACAAATCATTGAGTGTGTTTTATACAGTCATAACACCTATGTTGAACCCATTAATCTACACTCTTAGAAACTCAGAGATGACAAATGCTATGAAGAAGCTCTGTAGAAAAAAATTTATGTCAGGAGTAAATGAGCCATCCACTATGATAAGAGTCATTTGACATTAATGCTGTCTACTGAGGATTCAAATGTCTTTTTTCTATTTGTATACATCGATTATACTAAAGAGTTTGTGATATGTCCATATATGTATATAATGTGATTTAAAAAATTTGTCCCTTCTATTACTCTTTCTTATCCTCTTTCCCGCATTTTACAAATTTTAATGTGTTTCATTATTCTGATGGATTGTATACATGCATATAAGTTACTTTGATCATATTCATATTTTTAATAATCTAATGCTAACTTCCCTTCCATCAAAGTATTTCAATTAATGAATGGCTTCTTCATTTGTTCCATTAATATTTCCTGTTTATAATGCATTCTCTCTAATGTCTTGTTTATTACCTCTTAGAATAGTGCATTACACATATTGTAGGGAGTCCTTGAATATATGCAATAAATTAATGAATGAAATTTTTATTGCTTTATACTGATTTAATCTATTTTTTAAATTTTTATTATCATCCTTGTTTTATGATTTTCTTTTCTTGATTCTTTTTATTATAGTAAACATTTAAATGCTACCTACACCATTATATTTATGTAATTTCATTTTAACCACATATGAAATATTAGTGAGTTAATTTACTTTTTAAAATAAAAATGGAAAGTGTAGTAGATAATAACACTAAAATTAGAACCCTTCAGAATGACAAAACAATAGAATTAATCTCCTAGCCATTCCTCACTGGTCCCCCAGTGCTAGTTTCAAAAACAGACACTGAATTCAACTTTTAAACTTTTTCAAGTAAGTACTCATGTCATACATGACAACAAAGTTGAACTTGAAGAAATGATTCTAATGATATAATCCAGATACAAAGCGACAAACCCTGCATGATGCCCTTTATATGTGAATTTAAAAGTCACACTCATAGGAGTAGAGAGAATTGTGGTTTTCGTGGGCTGTAGTTTTGAAGACAATGATACATTGTGCATAGAGTATAAAGTTTCATTCTGCAAGATAAATGATTTCTGTAGTCTAATACACAGTATGATAGCTATAGTGAAGGATAGTGCATTGAATACTTGAATTTGTAAGAAGATAGATCCTAAGTATGCTTACACCAAAAAAAAAAGAACTTTGCAATTGATGGACACATTTATTAAGCTAGTAATGGTGATCATGGCACTATATACATCCATCTATCTATTTATCTATCTATTATCATTTATACACACACATGTATGTACATGTATGTGTGTATATATGTCATATTGTATACCCAAAGCATGTATGAAACCTATTTGTCTATGAAACATCAATAGAACTGAATTGATTGAAAAACAAACAAAACCCAAATCTAAATAAAATATGTTAACAACAGAACTGAATTGATTGAAAAACAAAACCCAAATCTAAATAAAATATGATAACAACAGGATGCAATTGGAATTCCTTTGCAGTTCTTTCTGCCTGTGAGGTATATCACAGCAAGATTTACAGTTAAATTATTTTCTTACAGATTTACCTAGTTTGTTGCCTCACCAATTCTCTTTGCATTTCTTTTACCAACTTTATGAATATTATGCTTATGCTTTGTTTTTAAGTTTAGGAATTGCTTTTTTTCTATTCATTTTTTCAAATGTGCATACATTGTTTGGGGTCATTTCTCTACTCTGACCATCACCCTCTCCTCCCCTCCCCCACCTCATCCAAGAGTATACTTGTGTAACTTTTACTGTATCTGCATTTCTTTCTCTTCAAATTTTAACTCTACTAATTTATTTCCCTTGTTAAATTAGTAGATTGGTAGATACATTCAGTATAATATGAAATAATTGTAGTAATAGCTAAAATTTACTTCAGTTTTAATTTTATTGGAAAATTTAAAAGTTTATAATGGTATAATATTTGACATGACTTGTAATTGGTTGTCTATGCCATCACACTATTTTATTCTGACATGTATTTATTCTATGACATAATTTACCCATTATATTATAGGGTTTTATGCATTGGATACATCTCTGCATGTTTAGAGTGAGCTGTTGCTAGGGAAATGTTTTATTGCTTTTAAATTGCCCATTTCTGTTGGTTCTATTGCAAGGATTTCTCATTGAATTTTAGAAGTTAAAAGTTTATATTTTTGTTTGGATAGCATTTTGTTGAGCTTTATATATTTATCCTTAACTGATCTCCTTTAAAAAACTCACACTCTACATTCCTTATCTCTGATACATGTAATGTTAACTCTTCAATTTTTAAATTTTATTTTATCATATGATAATTCTGCAGGGGGATACATTGTGATATTTACATATGTTCTTAAAATACATATTAGTTAGATGATTTACCCCCTCCATCATTCCTCCTCATTCCCCTATCCTCTTTTTATAACTATTTCAACAGGTTTAATTCCATTTTCATACATGAATACAAAACCACAATATCCCCATTCACTCTTTCCTTATTCCCCCTCCCTTCCACTGGTACCCACCTCTGGAAATGACATATTTTGTACTCCGGTCCTTCAATTTTTAAAAATGTATTTTGATAGTCCAAGGGGTGTTTTGTCTTAGTACTTTAGTCCTGTATAATTTCATACTTTAATCAAATTAACCCCCTCATTACTTATACTTACTCTTTCTCTATCACCATTCTCCTAATATTCAATATCTTATAGTGCAGATATAAATAAGTTGTTCCAATAATTGTTAGCAGCTTAAACTAACATGCTATATGTTTTACTAAAAAGGTTTTTTATTATTTGGTTTCTCTTCAGAAAATAAACTCACATGTAATTCCTCAGCATGTATTACAATGCTAGATGAAGTAAAGAATGGAGTGAACACATTACAGAAGGAATTAATTATATATTTTAGTTTGTTTTTGTTTTAATAATTTTGAGACAAGATGATGCTATATAGTCTGGGCTGAACTTGAATTTACTATAGTCCTGTCTTTGCTTCCTGAGTGCTGGACTTATGTTGTTTGCCACTGCATCTGGATCAATTACAGATTTTGAAATTAATATAATTCTGACATAGTACAATTAGCTTGGTGACATTTTCTTTAAGTTGGTGCAGACATACTCAGCTTTTATAAAATGCTTTATCATTTTGGGGGAACTGTTTTAAGCATGTATGTTTGCTCATTTTTTCCTCACATTGATTCCACAAGATGGGAGATTTTATTGGGCTCATTAAAATCTGAAGGTTAAGAACTCTGAACCAGGTCATTACCCTGAGAAATTTATGCTACAAACCAAATTACAGTACTGTGACCTGTGTTCATATGTGGTAGTTCTCATTACCTTTTGATGATGACAAGGTTTTCTTACCTATTTGTATAAATTGCGCAAATAATAATCACTGGCTCTGATTTTATGCTTATTTTTTTTTACAAAGAGCTATTTTGTTTAAAAAAATTTTATGTTTGACCTAATTTCATAAACAGCTAAAATTTGCAAAAAAATTGAATACTTTTCCCAGATTCTGTTTATATTTGCATTTTTCCACATTTACTTTTTGCCTTCTTCTCTTTCTTTTTGTGTATTTGTACATACATATAGATATATATTGTATATACACATCACTATAGATATATGAAAATGTCATTGTCTTACTCTTGTCATTTCTCTCTTTTACATATGTATAGGCTTATTTATGTTTTGCTCTGAAAAGTTTGAGCAGTCATGATAACACATTATTTCTAAAATTTCTAAGTATTTCCAGTTAACAAGAAATTTTCTTTCATGACCATGTTAAAATGATCAAAATAAAGAATTTAACATTGATATAATCTACACAGTTTATTGCCATTTCACATAAAGTCCCAATTGTATCTTGTTTACAGCAAAGAAGAATTCAAGATTCTCCAAGATTTTGTGATCTTATGTATAGCATGCAATTTTAAAATGTGAAAGTATTCTTAAGTCTTTCTTTGTATTTTCTGGTATTGACACTTTCATAAAGTGTAAATAAGCTGTTTTGTAGAATGGACATGTATTCCTGATGAGGTTTGTCTTCTGCTTCTCTGTGTTTACGTTCAGTTTTTGCCTTTGACAAGAGTATCTCACAGGTAAGGCTGAGTTATGAGGGATCAAATCAGGAGGCACAGGCTGTTGATTAACCCATGACTCATAATGTTGAGTTTAACCATTTGGTCACAGTGTCTCCCTGTACTTTTTGTTGTAATACTCAGTTTTTGTCCTACCAATAACATTTTTGGGGTGGTATTTTTTTGAGATTTAGTACCATTGCAATTTGCCATCACATTTTATTTCTCTGACTTTTGGGCTTTCTATGAGAAGTCAACTGCTCTAGGCAGCTATTTCAAGATATTTTGTATTTGCTACACTATTTTCATCAAAGAATCTCTTTTTACTTTTTGATGGTTTCCCAGAGAAGGTAGAAAGAATAGTGAATTTATTTCAAACATCTGAATAATACATTTTTAAGGGATCCAACACTATTCATATTTGACAGCCCAAGTTTTATCTTTCCCTGTATTTTCTACAGGTGTTTAGGCACCAAATTCCAAATCTCTATAACAGGAAATAACATGACATGCATTGTGTCTGTATTAAGGATGCTGTATTTTCTGGAATATGCAGACAAAAATTCTAGCCAGTTTGGAAGAGACTAGAGACTTGAAGACATTCATGAAGTCATTCCACTTCCTCACCTTACACAGGGCATTTCCTTCACTGACAAATATTAGGATTGGTGGGAGGCATCCTTGAGTATTAGAAATCTAATTGTGTCTCATGTAGTCCTGTTGTACCATAAAGACTCTTGCAGAAGAAAAAAATTATGCTTTTAAAATGGCACTGAAATAAAAAAGATAGGTTTACATGCTACATTATTAAGCATGACACTGGTTTGAGTTTAAGATTTATACTTTGACTCAAAAATAAAGAGGAGGGAATAAGATGGCAGATTGTTGATAGACCCCAGAGTACTGAGCTACTCCACTAAGCAATATATTGCCAATATGCATGCAGACTAAATGTACATCTACCAACATTTACATTAGAATTTTATAGCACAA